CTTTGTCCAAAGACCCATCACTTGAGATGATGCATCCCAAGTATTTGACGTTGTTTACATTTATCAGTTGGGTGTTGTTAACAGAGAGTTTTTGGTTCTATGGACCTGGTATCTGACAGAAGTTGGTAAAGTACTTCAGTCTTGTTCAGGCTGAAGGTGATGCCATAGACCATAGTAGCATTGGAGACTTTGTTCAGTGTCAATTGTCCTTGTGTTTTTGTGCACAAGGAGTGCACCATTATTAGCAAAAAGAATTTCTTGAATGACCATATGGGGGTACTGTATCCATGTGTTCAAACAGTGAAGGTCAAAGAGAGAACCATTCAGTCAGTACCTGATGTACACTCCTTCCTTTAGATACTGGACAGCACACGATAACATATTCTATATGTTCTTTAAAAACAACAAATATTGCTTGTTATGTTCAGTAAGCCATGACCTGATCAGGCTTTCACTTCAACTGTTCATTTTTTGTTATTGTAGGACAATAACATTATTTATATATTATTTATGAAATTTATATGCTGCTCATCTTGTGGTTCAAGGAAACTCTGATAGGGTTATTATTGAAATTGAACAGTACTATTTTCTTTTTTATGTTCATTGACTTTTTCATCCTCTAGTTCTCTAATAGTTAAAACTATTCTACACGTCCTTGACTCTGAAAACTGGTTGTTCCTTTTAGGGATCATCTCCAACACCACTGCATCTATTAATGGAGGAAAAGTATACAATGAAGTTCCCTCTTCCTACACAAGATTTATCGATTTACCAAGTCCTCTGCTTCTGAGCCTCTCAGTAGTATCAAGCTGGCTCCCACTGAAGAAGAATGGGAGATGAAAACATAAGGTAATTGCTATGAATCCTAAATACTATCTCAGCTAGGGCTGCAAGAAGATGGCAAATGGACAAGGAAGGGAAAGGCAACTCATGATTGAAACTTATCTGTAGATGCCCTAGTTCTTGAGGGATTCCATCTTTTCATTTTGAATAAAGTTCTAAAAGCACAGTTGTTGAATACATTTAAATACTGACCATGTCATTACATTTTTAATGCTTCTGGTGTCAAGTTGGTTATTTTGATTTTGTCTTTTAATTGTAAACTGTCATAAAATCTAATAAATAATAATCAGGTGGCAATGCATAGCTGCTGTGATTATTCCCATCTCTTTAGCACTTCATTTGCTTTATAGGTCTTCCAAATATTGTTGCTTGAATTGTCCCTCTATTCCTTTCTTCTGCTTTCTACACACAGAGTAAATAGTGATCCTTGCACATGGCAAGGTTTTTGTTGATAAAGGCTAGCATTCAGCTTCACACTTAACCTTTACAGTAGACATGTTAAACTTGTGACATCACGTGACATCGCACAAGTATCGGGACGGTTTTGCCATTGCCGGCAATGGGGTGGGCGCAACTTCCAGATGACATGTCCAGTCCGCAGGCCGACAGTTTGACACCCCTGCTTCACAGCCTGGAGTTATGGAGCTCCCCAGGTTACTCCTTTACATACAGTACAACATTTTGGATGGGAAAAGGGTAAAACACAAGCAATACAGGTAGTCCTCAGCTTATAACCATAATTGGGACCAGAGTTGCATCACTATGCAAGATAATTGTTAAATGAATCACGCCTGATTTTATCATCTTTTTTGCTGTGTTCATTAAGCAAATCACCAGTTGTTAATTGAATCACACAGTTGCTAAGTGAATGCAGCTTCCTCAGTTGACCTTACTTGTTGGAATCTGGCTGAGAAAATCACAAATAGTGATCATGTGATCTACAACCATCATAAATCCATGCCAATTGCCAAGTGTGATGGCTCCTTTGGACGCTTCCCCAGTTATCTCTTCAGATATCTGCTGGGAGAGGATGAACCAGTTCCTGGCATGTCATGAGAGTAGTTGGTCAATGGCTCCCAAGCAGCTGTCTGAGAGTGATTTGGTGAAGCACAGCTGCAGCAGGACAGTCCTGAGGCATCAGAAAGACATCATATAGCTGCAGCCAGTCATGGATGATGAAGAGTAACTGCCTTCTGCACCTGATCCAAGAACAGGTAGGGCAGAGAAAAGGCAGGAGCAGCGAAGTTCAGTCAGATTACTCATAAGGAGAAAGCCTTGCCTTTCTTGATGGGATGCACCGGAAACTGGCTGTTTAGCACAGCAAACAGATGAGGTGATGTTGGGAACAATATGTTCATTTTCTAACTGTGTCTTCTTGTTCTGCCTTTCTTTGGATTGACACCATGTCTTGGATCTTGCCTTGTGAATTCTGGACTTTTCTTGTCTTGTGAACCCTCTTGTGTTGTGGATTTAATTTTATCTGGAGGGTTTATTTTGATTGGGAAACTTTCAAGTGCCTTGTGGACTCATTAGCCATTGCTCTGTGGACTAACATTGATCTGCTTGTAGCTGGACTTAATTGGGACAGTTCTGCGGTTTGGGTGAAGGGAATTGCTGGGGAATATTAATAAACCCACTAAACCAGTTATGTGTGTGTGTGAGTAGGACAGCACACCAAGTGCCTAAATTTTGATCATGTGACTGAGGATGCAAGAATGGATATAAGTGCAAGGACTGATTGTAAGTTACTTTTTTCAGCACTGAAATTGTTACTAAATAAAAGGTGGTAAGTCAAGGACTACTTGACTGTTTGCTGTAACAGTTAAAATACAAAAAAGGATTACCCAGAGTTTTTCAAGGGCATTTCTGCATCCTTGCAGAATTGTAATTATCTTAGGAAGAATATTTTCCACAAATACAGAACCGATCTGATGTCCTATTCAGTGAGAACAGCCGACCCTATGACCAGCATCAGTAATCTACTTGCTCTCAGCTTTTGAGAGAATTCATATGTACCAAGTTAATTTAACCATGCCTACAAACTGGATTCACATATTGCACTAAGCCAAGAAAACATTAAAGAAGGGGGCTGCAGGGGCAATGAAGCGAGACAGACTCACCTGTCAGAAACCACTTAGCCAGGGTGTTGGGTACATGAATAGCTCACTTACAAGAAAGCCCAAAACCATTTAGCTGGAACAGGAAACTAGAAACTTTGCAAAATACCCATGACCTGAGATGGGCAACGGGTGGCATGATATTTAGCTATTTTCCATACCAAGCGGATCAGAGGAAAGGGAGGGGGAAGCATTTTACACACATGCGTGCACATGCGCACAGGGCCGCAAGCACACGTGTGCTGCAAATGGGGTGGGGCTAGCGCCCACGTGATACTCACTAACCCTGCCCCATCCTTGCGTGATGCATCTCATTTCCGCACCCTGTGGTGTAGCGGCAGCCATATTTGCACCTTGCAGCATGGTGGCGGCCTGTTTTTGCACCTAGCAGTGCGGCAGCCTGTTTTGTGCCCCGCAGCATGGCAGTGCCACGTTTTTGCAACCCGTGGTGTGGCGACAGCCCATTTTTTGTGCCGAGGCACAGCGGCAGCACCCATTTTTGCACCCATGGCGTGGCGTCCATTTTTATGTGGCGTGGTGGCCCGTTTTTGTGCCCCACAGCACAGTGGCATCCCATTTTTGCAGCACGGTAGCATCTGTTTTTGTGCCTTGCAGCGTGGTGGCAGCCGTTTTTTGTGCCCTGTAGCATGGCAGCGTCCCATTTCCACACCCCAAGGCACGGTGTCCTGTTTTCACGCCCCGCTGCCACGGCACTAGCACAAATGAGGGACTGCATGCGCACATGCACATGCTCTGGCCAGCCTGTCCTGTGGCTTAGTGGCCAGGACCCCTGCTTTAGGGGGCTGCAATCCAGGTAACCAATATCATGTTATGCATGTATTATGGGGGGGAGGGCAAAGGGGTGAACGTGATTCACCTTTGACTATAAAAATTGCTGTAAAACTGTAATCAAGGCCTTGGCAGCTTTCAAAACCAGGGCCCTTATATGGTACCAAAATAAAAATATTTTTGTTTCACACCTTGTGTTTGGTGGTCAATTGGCTTCAACATCAAGCTAAGGCCCAGTTTTGGGGACAACACATCTAGATCAGCAGTGTCCAATCTTGGCAACTTTAAGACTTTGGATTTCATCTTTCAGAATTCCCCAGCCAGGTTTGCATAAACTAAGCCAACAAATCAGAATAACTTCATACATGGTAAACCATAGAAAGGCTAATCACACTTTAGTTTAATGAACTGTATTAACCAGTCTAATATCATTCACTTTAGTTTTATGTAAGGTATGCAGAGTTCATAAACTATGGTTAGAAAACATGGTTTAGTGTGATGTATAAACTAGGCCACCATGTTTCTGCCTCTGTAGGTTGACCCTTGGCATTAAGGTTTTTTTTTTTCAATTTTCTCTTCAAAAACGTCTGGGAGGATGCTGTTGCTCAAAACACAAAGGAGATCATGTGACATCTGATTTACCCATTAAATCCTGTGGAATAGGCAGGGTGCTCAAAAATGTGCAGCATTGCCTGGCAAAGTTCTGCTGAAGGACCAGCAGGAAAGCTGGCTTTCTGTCCACCAGCCCTTCCAAAAAGCGCTGAATAATTCCAACAGAATAATTCCAATTCTTATAGATCTGATTGTCTACCTTATACTTTTGAATTAGCTGTATAGTCTGTAAAAAATTTGCTTATTTATGTTTATTTTGTTTATAACCACTTCACACAAAAAAATTCTGACTGTGAATAACACGTGGCAAATTACTCTTCGTAGACCCCCAAACACTGCAGAAAAAAACAAAAAACAAAACCCTTTTCAAGCCACGCTGGCGACCGCGAAGCAAACCACTTTTGCTTCTTGACTCGCGGTATAAAGCGCGAACGAGTGGGAAAGTATTCCTTAGATCCCGTAATTACGAACTTGAAATCGCCGTATCATTTTCTCAAGAGAGCCTTTCCCGTCCTCAAAGGGCTTCGGGAATTGTAGTCCTAGAGAAAAGTAGATGCAGCAGGTTAATTTTTAAAAAGCCTTAGTGCGCTTGCGCGAACGAACTGGGCTTTGGTGGCGGTTACCAGTGCGTGGCAGGAACCGGAAGGAAGCCGGAGGGTGGGGCTTCCATTCAACTGACGTGTCTTTCTGAGGGGAGAATTGGAGTTTCTGCTGCCGCTTGGCCCTTCCTTTTCCGCGTTGAGGGCGCCGAGATGGGGAGTGAGTATCGCTGGACGGCGATGTAGACGCTTGCGAGAGCCGATTGTGGCGCGGAGTAGCGGGCGAGGGAGGGAAGGAGCCGGCAGTTCGTCGAGATAGCCTCGAGGAGGAACGGAGAAGCTGCTAGGGGGGAACGACCAGTTATGGGGTGGGGAAGTTGAGAGTGAAAGACGCGAAATGGCGGCTTGGAGGTGACGGGTGTCCTGCCTGAAGATGCGGGAAGACAGTGGTCGGGGGATAGACTGTGGGGCTGCAGGATCACCACTCTGAATGGTGGTCGACATGTTGCGCCCGCCAGACTATCGGACTTATGGAGGGGGTTTGTCAGCAGAGCAGGGGGGGGGGCTTTTGGCGAGACAGATGGTGTCGGGGGCATTTCTTGATGAAATCTGAATATCCCGATACAGCGCTAACGGCCAGTGTTCAAAAATAGTTCAGGTGAGCTCTTAGTGGTCCGTCCATCAATAGGTCAAACAGTTGCAGAGACTAGTTTCTTTATTTTGCAAAATGGGAAATATTTGTCGGAAAAATGCACTAGGTTCGGATTTTAATCGGAGCCTATACGTGAGATTTTTGTAGGTCAAATATTTCGTGTAATCACAAATAAAATACGCTGCTTTGTCGGGGGATGCTTTCACAACATAGAGACACGGGGTTACTCTTGTGTCTGGACCTGGTTGTAGTAGCAAACCGAACAACTTTTCTTCTGCATCTGATTGTAACTTTTTGCACATGTTGAAACTTAAAAAGCAATTATCCACAGAACATGACACAATGACCATCCCGATTGGCCATCTACTACTCATGTCAGTCTTGTGCTTGTTTCAAAAAACCTAAATCCCAGACAAAATGTGCTTCTTGAGTTCCCTCTGACAATGTTTTGAGACAAGCTAGAGTTCACCTCCCCAGTGGGTTGTATTTGAGCAGGCTTAAGTTGACTTGAATTATTAACTTCTTGGCCCATCCTTCTCATAACAGACATCTAAATGTATTAGACCACAGCTAGTATTAAAGATGTTGATTGGTCCTCAATATTATCTATGCGTTCTTTCTTACAATTTAAATTTGTTTAATCTGCATTTGTTGATTTTTTTTACCTTACTGACTTCCTTTAAGTTATTTAGAACCAGACCTCAAAAAAACTTTAATAGCTTGCCTCATATAGATTCATATTACCAGCAGTGCATTTGTAATTGCTTGAACGATAAGCACAAAGTGACTTGAAGGAAGTCCTGTAGTTTTAATATTTGTGGAACATCACAGATAATGCTGAAATCAACAACAGTCACATGCTCTTACAAATTGTTCTTGTTGGGAAATTAAAGAGAATACAAATTAGGTATGCCATTGTTATTACAGACTCCTTGTTTTGATTGTCTTTGACTTCAGAACACAGATATAGCAGAGGTAGCTACTTAATTTGTATATGATGTCATGACCTTCCATTTATGTTTCTTCAAAATAACATTTGTATGTTTGATTTATTCAAGATCATAGAATTAGAGGGAAGAGGCATTGGAGGTCTTCTAGTCCAATAAATAATTGCATAGATGACTGTATAGATTAGCAATTAGTAAATTTTGAAGAAGCTGAGATTTTCCTTTTTGAAGAATCTTATCTTTGTTAATTGATGAATGTCTGCTTAATTTCTCAATTTTCTTCACAGTTAAATTTCTTGAAGTAATCAAGCCCTTCTGCGTTATCTTGCCAGAAATTCAAAAACCAGAAAGGAAGGTAATGTATGCATGATGGAATTGTAGTTTTACCAAAATATTTATAAAAGATTAATAGGAAAGAAACATTTGTCCTTTTTCCTGTTTTTTCAAAGTTATTCAGTTAAACCCCTAGGCCTTTTATCACCTTTTTTTTTTAAAGGAACACAATGGGGTTTGAATGGAAAGGCAGAAAAGAGTATCTGGCAAATGCTAGTAGTGTGATTAACTGAAATACAACATGTTTATTTTTTAGCTTGAATAAAATGATGCATTATTTGCTTGGTGGCAGAATTCAAGATACACTTTTCTCATTTCCACAGTCCAGGCTGCCAGTCCAACTGGCAGAATTAAATGTTGCTTTTGAAAGAGCAGAGGGACAGCAAGCTGTTTGTAAATGTTTCTTTTTTTCCCCAATGAATGGGGCTGGTTGGTTTTCATTTTGCCATAATATCCTGTCTGAAAGGCACCAGAGAACTGTTCTTATAGTGGTCCTTGCTTAGTAGTATAGGTGGAAAATATGCTGGTTATCACTTTTGATAACATTTACTACAGTATATAGCATTTTGCTTATAGATATTAGCATTACTATGCCTCTACTTGTGATTTCTAACTGGCCAAATATAGGAAGTTCTCTGGGGTCAATTAAAGGATCATTTTAATTGGAAAGCTTTGTTTTTACTGAAGTCCTGCTCGTGTTATTTTCTTGTGTGTGTGGGTGTGGGTGTGTTTAGTAAAAGCAGCATGGAAATGTTGGAAATTTAAATATATTAAACATATTCCATTTATAGTCCCCGAATTATGATAACAGATATAACCCTATATCACAGCAATTTTCATGCAGGGGGAGGTCCCTCAGCCTTTTATTTAGCATTTTTGGAAAGTTTTCATTGAAAAGAGAGACGAATCAAGCTTCTTAAAAGTCGTGTACAATATTAGCTGTATTTCTCATGGAAATTTCATGCTTTGTTCTAGCCAAATGTTGGCAATGACAATTATTTTCACAATTTCATCTCTTATTATAGATCCAGTTTAAAGAAAAGGTGCTATGGACAGCTATCACTCTCTTCATCTTTTTGGTTTGCTGCCAGGTATTTTCTTTTTATTACTTCAAGCCTTTCTTTAAAACAAAAGCTAGAGAGCCAAGCCTATGATAATTTTGCTTGCTTTTTTTTTAAACCCAGATTCCTCTTTTTGGTATTATGTCATCGGATTCAGCTGATCCCTTTTATTGGATAAGAGTAATTCTGGCTTCCAACAGAGGTATTGAAATTCACTTTAACAATTGATTTGTTGCTAAATTTCATTTCTGTCTATCGTATACCAAACTGGGTTTCTCCTTTAAATAAGTTAAGCACTTTGCATTCCCACTGACTTCGGTAATCATCAATATCCCATTTAATCATAGTACTATGCATTATTTTTAGTTTGGATATTGTGATTGTAAAATGGAGTTTTGTAGATTGGCCATAATGATGCTGTCATTACAAATATAAAAGATAGTATATTTTGGGTCATTTTAAAGCGGTTCGCATATATTATTTCACTAATTTTACCATTGGGACCGGGGCTGAGAAATTTATTAACTTAAGTATAAAAAAGGATTGGAGATTTCCATTACTTTGTGTCAGCTGAATGTTATTATTAGAGCCAGTTTTGTATAATAGCTAAGTGCCAGGACAGAAACCATAAGATTATGAATTCTAGTTCTGTCTTAGGCAAAAAGCCAGCTGGGTTGACATTGGGCCAGTCATTCTTGCCCAATGCTGACTTGAAGGCATGTGTGTACATGCGCACACAGAGTGCTATATATTAATAGCTAAGTGGACTGCCTGGAATTGAAGGACAGAATGAATCAGAAGCTACTGGTGTCTTAGCAGAGTTAAAAGAGCTATGGTTTCCTTTTTCCCCCCTGCCCTTAACTTGATGAACTACTGAAAATCAGTATCTTTTAGCTCACATAATCTGGTAAACTCTTTTCTCTGCAGGGCAATATGCTTGAAACATGCATAGAGGGACAGTTGGTAAGGCTAGTATAATACTGGTTCATCATATATTTTAACTGGGTTCTATAGGTCACTTAAAGCAAATTTCTTTTTGGGTAATATATCATCTTAAACATTTTATTTATTCTTTAAATTTGCTCCCACTTTTTATTTGTTATTAGTTGACAATGCGAATTTCTACACGGGAACATATCAAAATTCAAATTTCAAAAATGTTCAAAATTCTTTTGATTATTCTTACAAATTTTGATTTGCCTGGAAATATTAGCATATTTGCAGAATCTTTACAACCAGCATTTTCTGTATGTTTAAAAAGCTGTATCAAATTATTATGCTTCAATAGGTTGGGAAATGTGTTTCTAAAGGATGAGGCTGACTCATTCTTGAAAATGAACTGTAGTTTCAGCTTGCCTTGCTAAAGCAGCTTCTCCTAATTTGATAATATAACAGAATGATTGTGTTTGTTTTGTTTTGTTTTTTTTTTGCAAAATGGAGAAGAATGAAGTTCCATTGAAAATTTAAATGGTTTCCCCATCTTTATAATGTCTCAAGATGGCCAGTTATCTGTGTAGGTCTGAGCAGAAAAGGATGGTAGATCCTATCTTTCACTCTGTTTTTGATTTCCAACAGGTACACTGATGGAGCTAGGCATTTCTCCCATTGTCACATCTGGTCTCATCATGCAGTTACTGGCTGGTGCCAAAATAATTGAAGTTGGGGATACACCAAAAGACAGAGCTCTCTTCAATGGCGCACAGAAATGTAAGGAACAGGAAATTTAAAACAATTTTTATTCTAGTTCATGCAGATACAGACAATGGACAATATAAATTGACCTCTCAGAAAATTTGGAATGTTAAATTGCATTCACTTTTTTGTCTTGTAATTCTTTTCCAGTATTTGGCATGATTATTACTATTGGACAATCTATTGTTTATGTAATGACTGGGATGTATGGAGACCCATCAGAGATGGGAGCAGGAATCTGTCTCCTTATCACCATTCAGGTAACTTTTAAGTTATTAAAACTCTTCTGGATGTAGACCTAGGATCTGTAGTTATTTAAATTTTAAAAGATTGAAATCAGGCCCTTTTGCAAACTTGCTTAACCCAGCCCTTTCTCTGCAAGAATGTTAAATGTTCTTGACAGTCACCTGGAGGCTTCCTTCTTAGGCAGGACATTTACTGTGGAAAGTTCTCACTTCTGGGTATATTAATCTCACAACCAAAGAGCTGAGATTTACACATTTCACAACTGTATGCTTACCCTTTCAGTAACAACTATTGAAAAGGTAAGAGAATTAATCAACTTGGTTGAGGAACATATTTGGCACAGAAACAAAGTACCCAAAAGGGCTACCCTCATATGAATTACTAAGCGATCTCCACAGACAAGTATTTATAGAAATTGCTGTCCCTGTTTAACCGTTTCTGAACTGTTTTTAATTAGTAATTTTTAATTTAAGTGATTTATATACTATACATTTTTCCTTGTAGCTTTTTGTTGCTGGTTTGATAGTTCTTCTGTTGGATGAACTTCTGCAGAAAGGCTATGGTCTTGGCTCTGGCATTTCTCTCTTCATTGCTACTAATATCTGTGAGACTATTGTATGGAAAGCGTTCAGCCCAACTACAGTGAACACTGGCCGAGGTAATCATTCTTTGATGAGACATGTATCAATCCCTTGGAAGGAAACAGGAAAAAAAAAATCTAAGCTCTTCCTATTTGTCCAGCGGCATAGTATGTTGAGTATCATCTGAAAAAGAAAAATTGCAAGTTAGTAAGTACCGTATATGCCGCCGTATTAGGCGACCCGGCGTATAAGACGACCCCCGTCTTTATAGCCGGGCTGCATTCCTAGAACGTCGTCTTATACGCCGGAAACTACCAGTATTTCCGGCGTATAAGACGACTCGGCGTATAAGACGACCCCCGTCTTTGGCGCCGATTTCAGCGCTCGCGGAAGTCGTCTTATACGCCGGCATTTACGGTAGTGTACTGATTTGCTTGACTGTTACAGTATTTTTAAGGAAGCATGGCTGCCTGAAACCCTGAATACCTCTGTGAAAATGTGTGTATTGCAAGTAGATTTCACTTGTTTGGCATTTCATGCAAGAATTGACTGACTGGGAAAGCTCATTTGGAGGTTTATTAGCAGTACTAATAGTTATAGGAAACCCAGGGAGTTTCAAGTGAGTGCTTGCTTTTATATGGAAAACCAAGCAGCAAAGCATTTTTTTTTCTGTAATTTAAATTCAAGTTTTAGAATGGCTACTTCTATGGCGGTCCTGAACAATTCATCTTATGATTTGCACTGATGATGTTTAAAGGTGCTTATGGAAAGATAAGAAAAAATATAGCCCAGAAAGAAGAAATACATTATAATGCACTTTTAGGTGTTATACTTATATTTGCATGTAAGGAAAGTCCATTCTGTTGAGTAAATATGGCACAGTGCTAATCATGTTGACTCCTTACTGACTACTCTGTATGTTACACTTTAGCATTAGTGGCTTTTTTCAAAGGTATTTTCCCAGAACTTGTGCAGATGAGACTCTTTGGCAATGCATATATTGCAGACTTAAAATATCAGATTAAACTGTAGTGTGTTTTAATAGTAGTTTATTGAAAAGGTAAATGTGGCCTAGTTCACATAGAATCCTCAAACCACACTGGCTAGTTTCAGACATGGTAGTAAACCAAAATATGCACAGTATGTTATTGCATGTTTTAATTTAAAAAAACAGGGTTTTTTCAGAAAAATAGTTATCGCTGTATGCAGCAGACCCATTTTGTGTGGATCAGGAATGCTGAAAAAACACCTTCAATCAGTGAATTTATCTCCAAATAGGCTTATAGGTCTTTTTTAGTCCTTTATAGAGGGTCCCTTTATTTCTGTCTGATTGATGCGCTACCTCAGAAGATGATGGGAGGGGGAGAGTTTTTACAATAACTTTTATTAAGAACATTTTTAGATATGCCCAGATAAATAAATAAAAACAGACATGTTCTGAGCTGCCCCTTGTATCATATCTAGCAGCTAGTAATGATTTCCTCAATAATTATATGTTCAGCATAACATTCCAGTAAGAATGTGCTTTTCCTACTAAGAGACTAGTTTAGAGAAATTTCTATCAGTGTTGCAGAATTATGTATGATTAGTTTAATGAAGAGAAGGACTAGGGGTGACATAATAGCAGTGTTGCAATATATCAGGGATTGCCACAAAGAAGAGGGAGTCAAGCTATTCTCCAAAGCACCTGAAGGCAGGACAAGAAGCAAAGGATGGAAACTAACCAAGGAGAGAAGCAACCTAGAACTAAGGAGAAACTTCCTGACAGTTAGAACAATTAACTAGTGGAACAACCTGCCTCCAGAAGTGGTGAATGCTCCAACACTGGAAGTTTTTAAGAAGAGACTGGACAGCCATTTGTCTGAAATGGTATAGGGTTTTCTGCCTGAGTAGGGGGTTGGATTAGAATACCTCTAAGATCTCTTCCAACTCGTTGTTATTACTACTTCTACTATTACTATTTCTGCACAATAACAGTAACAATTAGAAGACAATGATTCATGTAGTTTACAAACTTTTGTTGCTTTTTATTAAAACTGTTGCCATTTTACTTACTTTTTCTTTGTTTCTTAACTTATTTCTGTCTGTTTTCTCAGTTTTAGCTAATTTCTTATTGTCCTTTTAATCTGACATAAAATAAATAAAATAAATTGTAGTTGTTGCTAGCTTTACAATGTGTTTACATTAATACCGATAGTCACGTGTCTAAGAAGGAAATGCTGGCTGTTAATCTTTTATTTTTAGAGAATAAATCAATAATCGTAGGAGTAATTGGAGTATACGGGATATTGTAAACTGCCAGCTTTCAGAGGCAAGGACTGTAAAGCATAAACAGCTTTTCATGCAGTAGTTAATAATTTCTTCACCTGTTTGTTAAAGGCATGGAGTTTGAAGGTGCCATCATCGCCCTGTTCCATCTGCTGGCTACGCGCACAGACAAAGTTAGAGCTCTCCGGGAAGCCTTCTATCGGCAGAATCTCCCCAACCTTATGAACTTGATTTCCACCATATTTGTCTTTGCCGTTGTCATTTACTTCCAGGTGTGTAGAAGTATAGACTGATGATTTACAGTTTAACATGTTTTTATATTCTGTTCAGGCCTGGGGAGGTGTTTGTTTATTAAGGCCATATAAGTTCTGATGAAATGCTTATTAATACATCACCAAAATATGAAGTATGAATATTTCCATAAGGTTTATTGGAGAAATGTAAAATGTATTGTAGATTAAAAGTGCTACTGTGTTAATTTGAGTTGATACCAGTGATTCAGAATCTAATGCATTGTTCAGTTTATCAGTACTGTTAAACTTCGTTAATTTCATTGTTTAAAAAATCATAAATTTGAAAGGTGCAAAATTTATCTTTTTAATCTTGGTGTAAAGCTAATTTGAAAGTCTGGATATTTTTTGCCAGCTGAAGTAAGATCATTATCACAGTTCTGGTTTCACTTGGTGACCACTTCACTTAATCAAATTGCTGGTTCCAATTGTGGTTGCTAAAGAGGGATTCCCTGTATAAGCTAATAAAGAGAAACATTACATTTTGTTGTTTGAGATTGCTTGTTAAAAAATTACCTTGATTTGATTGATGCTTGGGGCAAGTGCTTCTGTGAATTACATTTAATTCTTTGGATTTACATTTTAATTTCTTTCCTTTTACAATCCACAGGGATTTAGAGTGGACCTCCCTATAAAATCTGCCCGCTACCGTGGCCAGTACAATACCTATCCAATCAAGTTATTCTATACCTCCAATATTCCCATTATCCTTCAGTCTGCATTGGTTTCTAACTTGTACGTAATTTCTCAGATGCTCTCTGCTCGTTTTAGTGGCAACATATTGGTTAGCCTTCTGGGTACTTGGTCTGTAAGTATCTTGTAAGTTCTTCTCCATAACTCTGAACTTAAAAGTGCTTCTAGCAAAGGTGCCCTAGAGAAATGTTTCATAGTGCCAGGTTTTAAAATCTTGATAAACTCTCTAGTCCTTCCTTCCAAGTAGACACATACAGAATTATACTGTATCTGATTTTTATTTACCATTTGTCTTACAAATGAGATGGCCTTTCATACTGAACCTTACTTAATATGTTGTCTTATTACCAGTTCTTTTGTATTGTCTTCTGGTATTAGCTTTAGTATATTTTATTATATTATGCTAACAATGCATGCCGACATCTTTGCAATGCAACGAAAGACTCATGACTATTATACATAAATATTGCTAACATGACTAGATTGTGTGCTACCTATTGACTTGCTAGCAATTGTGTGTTACGTATTGACTCAATAAAGCAATTTTGTTGAAAGCAATCTATTTTCACTGCAGGATACATCAACTGGAGGTCCTGCCCGTTCATATCCTGTTGGTGGCCTGTGTTATTACTTGTCGCCTCCTGAGTCTTTTACATCAGTTTTGGATGATCCTGTTCATGCAGTTGTTTATATTGTGTTTATGTTGGGTTCCTGTGCTTTCTTCTCCAAAACCTGGATTGAAGTGTCCGGCTCGTCTGCAAAAGATGTAAGTAAATAGCATAAATCCCACATCTTTAGATGTATCATTCCTCTCTAACAAACATTTCTCCAGCCATGTTACTTGACAGACAGTGCTGCTGTAAGAGCTTGAAGGAAGAATTAATGGAAAGGTCAAATTCAGTCAGAACTATAGGGTACTCCTCATAGCAAATCATACTGTTGTTCTGTTAAATTTGGTATTGTTTAGTGATACTGTGGCACTCCAAACACTTTCCCCTGTTCATCTGCAGATGCCGTGGATTTAATCTGGGTCTGTTGCTTGTGCCGATTCAAGCAAACCATGACTAACTTAAACATTTACTTTATGATAATCCCGCCCCCCTTTAATCCTGTGGTCTAAAAATTATGACTATCAGGCTTAACTTAAAGAGATCAGAGAGTCATGAAGTAGCATAGACAAAAGAAATTGTAATTGCGATGAGAAATTTGAAGGCCCAGATCCCCTGAAACTACAGAGGCTACTAGTTGCAGTTGCTGAAGATTTGATATGGAGGGAAGCGGGTAAAAACTAAATGTATGCTAGAAAATAGGCTTAATCTTAGTTACTCAACATCCAAATTCTACCACTACACACACACACACACACACACACAAAATCTTGGCTGAAATAAATTCCTGGCTATGCTCATTCTATAGCCATTTATTCTGTTCAGGACACCAGAGTCTCTTTCATGTATGAGTTTATAAATGTTTATAACTCCTTTATTTCTAGAAATTATTCTCTGGGGTTACTTGAGAATATGGCATTATGCCTTAGTAAGTTAAAAAAAAAAAATTCTGCTCAGTTGCTCTATCCCTTATAGTATTTCTGATTTTAAGGACTATTAAGATTCTTACATTTTTATAGCAACCGAGCATAATGGTTTCACAATGTTAAAAAAAAAAAAACTTATTTTGGAATACAGGTTGCTAAACAACTGAAAGAGCAACAGATGGTTATGAGGGGTCACAGGGAAACCTCCATGGTTCATGAACTCAACAGGTGAGCTATAAATCTAGCGTTTTTGTAATCTGTATTGCTATTTAAGCTTTCATTTGCTTCAGAGAAGCAGAACTGGAAATAAATTACGTTGGAAGATTTAATGCCCTTGTGCTCTTTCCTTGTTACTGAAATTCTAGCCTTCAAAAATATTCCCTGTAATATTCCTGAGAATGCTTGCTTTATATTTGGGAAGGCAAAGGAAATAACCCTCATCATTTGCTTATTTGAAAAGGGCATTTTTTTTTCACTACTGATTCTTGCTTCTTAAAAGAAGCAAATAATTTCCTTCATGTATGTGACAAGAGAAATAAAACGTACATGCAGCCTGGATTGTATTTTAATTGAATACAAGAACACATATTCTGTGTGCCAGTAAGGCAGAGCAGTATAGCTATGCAGTTTGTGGGTTCTTCAGATAAGGGTGTCCCTATGCACCAGAATACATGCATGCAGTCCTCAAAATTACATTAAGTGGGACGAAGTAGGTGGATTTCTTTGAATTGCAAATATAAAATACATAGAAAGAGAGAAACTGGGAAGGTCTGACCTTATAGAAACTGACTAGGCTCTATAGGTGATCCTTGACTTACAACCATTCATTCAGTGATCATTTGAAATTACTATGTCGCTGAACGAAGGGATCTACGACCTGTGCTCAAAGTTATGACTGTAATGATTGCAGTTTGGACTCTTTTCACACTTACAACAGGTTGTCGAGCCTTCTACAATCACATGATCACCATTTGCCATCTTCCTTGCAGCCTTTCTCAGAAAGTCAACAGGTTAGCTAGCAGGAAAGGTCACAAGCCACTTCCTTTCTCCAGCACATCAGGCAGTTGCCCTCTCTGGCGTGAACTAGAAAGTCTTAACTTTCTAGCAAGGAGGGGCAGCACACTGGGCTGGAGGAAGGAAACTTGGATCATTGCAATCTGAGCTTCCTTTCTCCGACTTAGCGCACAGGTTCCCTCTCACAAACGGGAGGGGAAGGTCTGCCCAGGAATTCCCTTCTGCACATGGAGGAGAGCTGCCTGCTCTCTTGGCAAGCAGCTCTTTCGCTTTATTCATTTAACAATTTACATCCCCAACCCACCGGTCAGAGAAAGAGTGGGTGAGCGCACAAAGTGTGAAATTAGGTTGCATATGTGAAATTATCCCCTGCCGCAGCCCCCGCTCTACAGAGCCAAAAAAGTTGGGGACCGCTAACCTACACAGTGTCAAGAATAAAACTCTTAGCAACTCCACCTGAGAGGACTGAGCAGTTATTGAGCAAGGCAGTCACAAGGGCACCGTGCATAATGACTGCAGTGACGTAAGAGTGTAAAGGGCAGACTCAAATACTTGAGGACTAGTTTGTCTTAAGTATTTTCCGCAGTAGCTAGGCCAGGAGACAATTTCCCTTAAATCTTTTGGCTTAACTTGTATCTTGTCGTTCCTCCTTTTTCAGATACATTCCAACAGCTGCCGCTTTTGGTGGCCTCTGCATTGGTGCCCTCTCTGTGCTGGCAGACTTCCTTGGAGCAATAGGATCGGGAACAGGAATCTTGTTGGCTGTCACCATCATTTACCAATACTTTGAAATCTTTGTAAAAGAGCAGAGTGAAGTTGGCAGCATGGGAGCACTTCTCTTCTAAATGCAATACTGAGTCATGGACCTAGGGACTGGCGAAGAGTGTTTTTAAGTTTTTAAAAATCAGGTGAAAGAGATTAACAATTACACAAAAACACATGGGCGTACGGTATTAATAGAAACACTTCTTTTAAATGTGTGAATTTTTTTTTTCTGAAGCACATTCCTTCGGTTCAGACTTTATTGGTATTTAGTTGCTGTTTTATAAATAGCTGGAAAATGTGTAAAAAAACATTTTTAGAAAAAAAAGATCTTCTGTTCTTTGTTATTGTTTGAGGCAATTCTCTAAATCGGCTTAATCTGAGAGCCTTTTCTCCCTATTTCAAACTGCACAATCTTGTCCCTAAGTTCCTTGAAGATTTTTCGGGTTCATTATTTAAATGAAGAGTGGACAGTTATTTGTTGCAGTGTGATACTTGTCTCTTTCCCTGGACCTGTGGGAGGGAATTCCCTCCTCAAAAATCATCTCCCAAATTATCCATTCTTTCGCGTGGGGGGGTGTTCTTTTGATAAGCACATACATGACTTCTACTCCTAGGATACCACACTTAGAGCACCCAGATGTCTAGTCAAGAACAGTCTGTGTTTTCAGGGCTGCCTTTTGACTGTTTCTTTACTTCTGCCTGGGATGATAATAGCCTGTGGGTAGAAATCTCAGGTCATGTTGCTCTACAAGAAGAATTAAGGTCACGTCTTGCAATGTTTGCTGAACAGAGGCAGTCAACAGTGCCACAGAAGAAACCTGCTTATAGTTTGTCTTGTATTATTTTTATCTCTTGACAAGTGTTGAATGCAGTATTTCTCTTGGAAGTTACTGTACTCCTAACAAGTTTTATTTGCCATGAGATCAAAATAAATTCTAAGCTAGGAGGTATGATGTTAACTGTTAATCTCCTGCTTGATGAGTATATTGAAGCCAGGTACAGTAGGACCTGCATATTGTTCCAAATGCTTATTGTCTGGAATAGTGACTACCAAGCCATGCAAATTCTTGTCCACCTAAGGGATTCCCTTTATCTCCAGATAGTTTCATGTGTTCTTCTAAGCTGGAATGATGGTGCTTCTTTAGAGACCAGATAGCCATTGCTTGCTTTCAGGGTATCACCTACTAAATAGGACTAGTAGCCATAAAAATTTTAAGGGTTATCAACTCCTTGTAAAATTCCTTGAAGGCTTGACATCTGTTGGAATATATCAGTGGTTGTAAGGTGATTTGTGTATTGTATAGACCGAATTAAAATGCCTGGTATAATGAGAAGCATGCGGATAGAATTGCTGGTCATGTTGGCCCTTGAAAAAAGAGCCAGATTAGGGACCGGATTAGTGTCCAGTTTTCTTTCTTGGTAAATGTAGAAATTTATGCCTTGCCAAAAACACCACGTTATATTGAAATCGGGTCAGAAACTAGTATTGAAATTGTCAAACCTCTGGCAGTTCTGTCATTTTACCCAGCAATTTGTGCAACAGAAAATCCCAGTACCAAGAAATTGCGAACACGAATGGCATGGAAGAAGCTGAGTGTAATGCAGTAAAACTGGGAAAAAGCATAGGACCTCCTCAAGAGCAGATACAGATGGGAATTAATAGTACTGAAGAAATCTAACTGATATGGTCTCCCAAGCCAGCTTTGCTGGAATGGCTTCTTCAGTTAATAGGCTGCTATAACGTGGATATATTTTGGGCTGTTTTTATTCCAAAACAAGTGAAAAACATACGGTGCCTTACGGTGCTGTAGTGTGATTCATTTATGTGGCAAAGCTCAAGGAAAAAGTTGTGTTCTGGATCAATTGCAAATCTGACTTTGTAAGACTTTCTTTTTTAGTACTTCTTTTCAAATACTTATAAATCAATCTTTAACTTCATGAAATATAGGTCTTTTTAAATGTAACTCAGAAGTAAATATTAAATTTTTATTGCATTTTTATCCATCCCTTCCTATCCGTTTTATCCCATGTACTAAAGGGATAAAGGTCTCATTCAGTTTCAGAACTGGAGCAGCAAAGCATCAAATTGAAGTGATTAGAAATGTCAGATCAGAACCTTTGGATAGATGGTGTGCATTACTGAAATTATCCCATCCCCACCCATTTGAAATTTACAAATTGTGGACCACTTTTTCAAATCCAATTGCTTTGATCCAAGTCAATGACTTGATCTCCATAGCCATATTAGAGAGGTTGAATTTATTTTTTGTGGTTGAAACAAAATTATCTGTACTGTGCATAAAGCATTCTTCAAGGATTGCATAAAATATTGTAGTTTTTGCCTCACTTTTAAAAGATGAGTGCCAAACCAGTATTTGAATTGATGGTATTAACATACCATTAATGTTCTGCACTATACACAAATCCTGGTATTTTTATTTGCCCAGCAATAAAAAATTGACATATCCATCACTGACCTGCTTCTATTTCAATTGAATAACATTTTAACTTCAGAATAAAATTGTTTCCTTTTGCTACTTCTTGATTCAATTGTTTTTAATAGAGATAAGCTAAGATGATCTGAAATGAATCCTTTTGTAATCTAGCTTGGCTTTTTTTTTTTTTTTTTTTTGAATGGCAAGGCTCTGATATAAGGGGGATAATCAAGGTTTTCCTTTAATTGAATGATTGATTAATCAAATATATACGATTGCCCATCTCATGAAAAGTGATACTGGGTGGCTTATAACATAAAAAATAATGCATATATAAACATGAAAATGTAAAAACTGTATTTAGATATATTGAAATACAGCAGTTATTTGGGATGCATTTGCTGACACACTTCATATGGTCACTGGTTACCTGAGAAGGGCACAAATACATTCATACATATATGCCCTCACATTCTTCACTTGCCAATTGGAAAAGACTCCAGTTAAAACTTTAGATATGAAATAGCATCTTGAATGCTGTTTCAGAGATTAAGCCTCAGTGGATTATTGAAAGGTGTCCTATAGCTACAAATTCATCTCCAGGCTTGGTTGCCATAAGTAAAATATTCTGTTTATCACCCAAACAAAATCCTTAAAACTATAACATAAATTAAAATGATCATTTCTGGGTTTAAGTAGCATTTTGAATTACAGGTAGTCCTCGATTTACAAATTTAGTGACCAAAATTACAATGGACCAGACAAAAGTTATTTATAACCCAATTTTGAACCCATTCCAGACACAATTGCGTTTTGGGGCTTGGCAACTGGCTCACCTTTACAGCCATTTGCAGCATCCTATGGTCATATGAGTGATTTTAGACTTTTTTCTGGTTTCTGGTGCTTCTAATTTCCAGTAAAAAAAAATGCCTATTGGGTGTAATGGATTTACCTAACAACTGTGGTATCTCAGAAAAGGGTATACAGTAAACATCTGGCTTAAGAATATTTTCATGAAAGAAACTTTCAAATTGCAACACTTAAGTATCCACTAGAGGATGCTGTTTATTGCAGATTTAAATTATTTGGATTAAAGTTACTTGTAAACCGTATGCAGTATATTTTTGCACAGAAGTTACATATGGAAAAATACTAGACATAATACGCTCTTGAACTTTTATCCTGTAGTTTTAAAAACACATTTGGAATAGTCGCCACAAAAATACTTTTTAGTCTTCTACAGGATTCTTTAGGATTTTTCAAATAAGCAAACGCATTATTGCATAGCTCTTCTGAATAAAAGTCTATTTTATACGATGTACAAAGTACTTCCTGAATAAGGGGCACATAAAATGTGTAAGTCACCTGCTGCTGTGGAGATGTTGGGAAAGAGTGAGCAAAAAAAAAAAAAAAATCCTGTTCATTGATAGCATTATTGTATATAATTATTCATACATTTATAAATTGTTTAATAACTTACCATTAAGTAATATCAGAAATCTTGGTCTTTGTTTAATCACTCAGATATAGTGTTAAATCTGCTGATGATTTCTAGTTCAGTTTTACAGTTCTTATGTAGAAGTGATTTTTCACCTTATAACCATGTCACTTAGTGACAGAGTTGCCAATCCCAAATGTAGTCAGTAAGTGAGGACTACCTTTATACAAAATTAGCTAAAAGCTTGCCCACCTCAAACTTTCATTAAGCTCAACTATTACCTGAAAGTGTATTCTCTATTTCCTAGGAAAAGGAAAGAATTGGTTCAGATGAATTAGGCAGATATAATTTGTTCCACAATCTTCTGTGCTCTAAATGGATCTATTGACATGGATTTCTTAGCAGGTTACTTTGTGGAAAGTAACTGTTGGAAATAGAAAGCTACAGCAAAAGACAGTGCTGTTCTGAAGACAGAAACTAGGCATAAAGCTTTCATATTTTGCTTCTAATAACTCATAAGGACATTGAAATTTATTTGTTCAATTTCTATGACCACCCATCTTGGTCAATGAATCTGGGCAGCTTATATATGTTTCTACAAAAAGTTCAAAAGGTGCTTCACTTTATAGAGAACTCTTGAATTGAATTTATTCTGAATTATGTTTTGATCAAGAGGTTTATAAAGACATAAGCAAGTTGGCATTTATTAAACAAAACATTTTCTGAGGCTGAGAATTCTTGATCATATTAATTAATTAATTGTATGCATGAATTAACTGATGACAACTATTAACAAGGGCAAAAAAGCTATCCTGCGTGCCAATTTTTTAATGACTTCAAAAATCACAAATTGGTAGAAAGTGAAGAATGTAAGGATGTTTTGTTTCTCGATTGATTCTAATACAGGCTGTAGATTTAAATTTTTCTTATAAAATAACAATAGCACTTAGACGTACCTACCGCTTCACAGTGCTTTACAGCCTTCTCTGACCGGTTCACAGAGTCGGCCTATTGCCCCCAACAATCTGGGTCTTCATTTTATCGACCTCGGAAGGATGGAAGGCTGAGTCAATCTTGAGCCAGTCAGGATCGAAGGAATCAAATTCCTGACAATGTGAGCAGAGCTTGGCCACAACACTGCATTCTCACCACTGCACTGCCGTGGCTCATCAATGAAAATTCCTAATCTAGAACTTTTGCTGTGCTGTACTAATACACTTGTGAAAACTTGCTCTCAGTTATTCTGAGTCCAGTAAAAATAACTTGCTCCATTGTGCTTCCAAGCTAAGTGAAATAGTTTTGCCCTACCTGGTGACAAGTGTACTTCATCACAAACCAGCAAAGGCAAAGGATTGCATGTTAAAAAGGATACTTCAGTAATTGGGGGAGCATCAACATAAAGCCCACCTACTGTAGATCTCTCCCACTTGTCTGGAAAAAACATGTTTGTTAGTAGAATGTGTAGTTCTGCAAATAATCCGCAACCTCCCTTAGAACAGGTGCAGCAGTTTTTAAGATTGATATAATTTTGATATTTTTGTTATGAATCTGATGTGTGGTAAATAGACCTAAGCTACTGCAATTACTGAAAATAAATCCAAAGCTATAGAATCACTTCAGTGGGACCCGCAGAGTTGTGCAAAAGAAGGCATTTTTATTATCCCAGGAACAATGACTAGGCTTGTTAATTGCACTAAGTCATAAACTGCTTAAACATGACTTGCTGAAAAGGCTAGTCTTGGGAAGAGATGTAATACATATCCAGCTAACCTAAACCTGACAGTGTCCTTATATTGTTATAATTAATCTTTCCTTCATCTACTCTGGTTTGCATTAATCCATGTGATTTTCCAAAATGCTTCTATTTTCTCTTTATTCAACATACAATTTGATCAAAAGGCTGCTGCTTTAATTATTCCCATTTACAGGGAAAACTAATGTTTGTACCTCTCAAGCCTTTTTCCAATATTTATCCTTCCTTAACTGTATGTAGGTTACAGCACAATCCCAGTGTGATAGCTATTGCCAAACTCTTGTCATTTGTATTCATCTCAGGAAGATCAAGAGTTTTCTGACAATGAAGGTCCATTATGCTGTATTTTCTCATCTATGTGCGTAGAGCCGGTGCAAAGTCAAAACTACCCTTTCCTTGTCGCCAGATGTGAAGGGCCCCATTTCCCTCCAGAGCTGCAACAGGCAGTTGGATATAGCCTATGATCATGAACAAAGACCCATTAAAAACAACTTATAATATGCCAGACCAATATGACTGAAGCTAAGGGAATAGCAGTAATACTCAGTTTGAAAAATAGGTTGTTATGTGCAGAGTTTCTAATGAATCTGAAAGTGCAGGAGGAGATCTTTACAGTTAATGCAAGTTTCATCTGTATCTCATTGGCAGTATTGGTCTACGTGCCTCTCTTCAGAGTTTGGAATGTTCAGGCATTATCTAATGCAGTAGTTCTCAACCTGTGGGTCGGGACCCCATTTGGGGTCGAACAACCATTTCAAGGGGGTCGCCAAACAACGCAGTCCGCCATTTTTTTCCCCTTTTCCTTAGCTGTGCTACTCCCTTTTATTCTATTGGCTTTTGAAAGCCAATAGAATAGACTCTCTTGAATAGAGTCTAATTCTATTGGCTTTCATAAGCCAATAGGAATTGTCCAGGCTGTCTCTGCCCTGCTGAGCCCGCCAAAAGTCCCATTCTGCAAACTGTGCTGCACCAGTTGAGTAGTCCTCGACTTACGACCGGTTGGGGGTCGCGGCATTAAAAAGGTTGAGAACCACTGATCTAATGAGAGGGACCTACATTTGAATCCATTATATTCAAGGTTGATTTTTATGTTGATGTTTCGGTATAAAATCTCTTTCCCCTTTTGCCACTCAATTCATTTTATCTTATGGTTTCCCATTTATAAGATAAGATCATTTTTATTGTCATTTTTTTTACTACAAGTACACTGGCCCACGTGAAAAATAAAATTCTGTTGCCTGCTCTCAAAAGAAAGTATACATATACATACATAACACACACATACATATGCTATATTTCTTCAACTCTTAAGGATTAATTTGATCATTTCAGCCACATGCCCTTTCTCCTTTAAGATTTCAAATTGGATTATCGTTCATTCAATGGACAAGGTAACTTTTCTTCTGAAGGGAACAACCACACTGGAATTTCCTCAACTTTAGTCTGTCTCCAGAGGCACAAGTGGCTGCTTTGACTGGTAAGCCAGTCATGACTCTACCTGGAAGATAATAGCCTAGCCCCAGTGATCCATAACCTCATGTTTGTGATACTGATAGAGGCTGCCTCTGAAGCTGGTCTCAAAGTGGCAACTTATCCAGATGATGCATAAGTGGGACAACTAAGTGAGATCATAAACCACCAATCCTGAAAGGACTGTCCAGCCTGCCTATTAAATACAGTAATGGACCCAATATAAGATGTTGGCATTAGCCTATAAAGGCCTAAGTGACTTAGGATCTAGGAACTTAATAGGTAATTTTCCCTAATGCCATCCAAGGCACTAACGACTCCAAAGGGAGTCTTCCTGTACTCCCCCAGGTTGATCTGGCTTACAATAGGGTAGCCAAAGGTAGAATATTTCAGTGGAAATTGCATCTGTTAAGAGAATTGTCTTCCAAAAATAATGTGTCT